ATAGAAACATACTCATATATACAATTAATACACATGCGTGCGCGTGAGCACACTTTTACACTCGCGCACACTCAGACGCGCGCGCGTGCACATACGCACAGACAACCACACAACCACACATACACACACTAGTCCTGTGAAATTCGTGTGTTACCAAGGACATATTGCCCTTATGAGTGTTCTTGTAGCCTACATAGAGAACTGTACACTCGTGCGATGGGCGTCTGTGCTGTAACGGTTAGGCGCTTTACTGTCGCACACAGCGGAAGGAGTTCCACAGACGGCCGGCCGGCCGACCAACAACACCTAACCCTAACCCTTGTATGATTTTTAATATTTTTGTTTGTTTTTTTGTTGTTGTTTTTTGTTAGTGCTTTACGACGCTCACAACTTGATAAGGTCATATGAGCGCGAGGGACACATTAAACTTTTCATTTGGTAGGACATTTTGAATTTTGCCCGGGTGGCGGCCGAAACCTACTCTTATCGATTTTAAACCACCAAGGGAATTTTAACGTGCGTAACTGAGTGTCACGGTATTTCTGCCGTGACTCTGTATGCCTCAGCTCGTGTTGGCCCTGACAGGCAGTGTCGGAAGTCCACCTCCAAAATAATCTAAATTGTGTCGACGGGGGTCTAAAACACCTATGTTTACGGATTTAAAGAAACACGGCTCTACCTGTCCATGCATGTTTGAAAAAATGAAAACTATCTACTCAGAAGCCTAGATGAGGTTGAGAAAGGCTCGTAACAATAACACTAAGTCCTACTCTATTGTTAGCGTTCTCAAAGCTTGTCAGGTGCACCGTTCCTTCATTCATTCAGATAGCGCCATGTGTGTTTGCACCATGCGATGAGTCGGAATCGTAAACTGTGTCCTAACACATTCGATAATATGGAGGGTCCACGAAAACGTTCAATACGGGGACAATAGGATGTCAGTGGTGACCAGAGACTTGGTTTAAACTTCACAAGTCTGTGCCCTCTTATATAAATCCAGCTCACCATGGAACGCACCCTTTGATTCTATTTTGAACCAAAACAAAGATCGTACATAACAAGATGGTTCACTCAGCCAAAAGAGTGTCCGCGGAAGTCTGCAGTCTGTGTTTTGAAGCTCTCTTTCGTTTCTCCAGGAGAAGAAGAATAGCACAGTTTGTAAGTTTCGCTTTTCTTGTTTTTCACACAAATAGGACAACTCTGATCGCAAAGTCCACCCTTTTTCCAGGAGGGCGCCACCGAATTTTGAGTTTAAAAAAAAGTTAAGTTGTCCCCGCATCCGATCCGGACATTGGGGATTGCCATGTTAATGAGACAAATTTCTGGGCCTTCGGCATATAGTGGTAGGGTGACCAGTTCCTTTCCACGCCTCCTTTACTTCCCCAAATCGAAGTCAGGTACCCATTACTGCTAGGTTAGCAGGAGGGAGCGAAAAAAATCCGTGTCCGAACCGGGGATCGAACCCGTACTTTCCGCTTCGGCGACGACCGCACTTGTTTAATTGGCTCAAAAAGAGGGGTGAACTATCTTGTTATGTACGATCTTTAACCAAAATAAAGATCAAGGAAGGAAAGTTGGGCCCGCACTCGGATTCCCGCAAAACCAAAGGTTTTTGCCGATCATTCACGCGCACATGATGCGGACCAGCTTAGCAAAGTTTTTACAGAGAGAAGAGAACGGTGGACATGACAGTGACTGATCTAGGATATTGTACCATTCAAATCTATGGTGTCAACTCTTGCCTCGACAGCTGGCTA